ATAGTCCTTTAATTTCATTTTGTTTCTTCTCTGGATATCATATTTTTAAAATTATAGAGTAATTTTTATTGTGTTTTTGAAATATTTTATATCCATTTTGCTATTTTTGTCTCTATTCATCAGTCACTGAGAAGTATGTTGAAATACCTTAATATGAGAGTGGGTTTATCATTTTCTCCTTAAAGTTCTGTAAAACTTACATTTATATGCTTCAAACTATGATATGGGCACATCAATTGAAAATAATCACTTATTTCTCTTCTTAAAAACTTTGCTATGTATTAACAAAACCTTTATCAATACATAGCAATCTCTGTGAATGTAGTAAGACCCTTGCCTCAAATTCACTTTTATATGATATTAATATGAGTAAATCAACTTCATTTTTATTGCTATTTTCGTGGGTTTTTAAAAATTTTTTTCCTTTGACATTTTCTGTGTTTTTACTTACCAGTGGGTCTCTAAGCAACAATAAATTGGATTATTATTTTAAGTCAAATAATCATTTACTTTTAACAAGAGCATTTAGACCATTTACACTATGTGATTCCTGATAAGCTATTTCTGTGACCTCAGTTTGCGGTATTTATCTAACATGTTTTGTTTCTATGTTGTGTAAAGTCTTTCCTGACTTTACAATGAGTTTTTTTCACATTTCACTTTTTAAATTTCACACACATACTTAATCTTTTACATTTTCTGAATAAAACTAGATCCTTAGAACACTTTAACTCATTTAACTCATTATTCTGACATTCAAGTCACTGTATATTAAATTTGTTGACTGTACCCTACGTGTTTCTTAGACTTTTAAAATTTGTTATTTTTCTTTATCTGGGATGTGTTCTGGATAATTTCTTTGCATCTCTCTTTCAGTCACTTACTCTTTTTAGCTGTGATTAATTAGTTTGAAATTCTTCGAGTTATGCAGATGTATGACTACACACACACACAGACAGACATATATATATTTCTACTAGTAATATTTAGTCCTGTATAAAATCTGTCTAGTCATTTTTTATGGATTCTTGCTTCTTGGCCGTATTTTCAAAATTGCCTTTTATTTGTGAAACTATGTTGAATACAATTTTCTTATGTTCCCATGATTTTTTTACATAAATCCTCTTAAGTTTTAATTATGCTGTTGATATTGCTGTCACCTTTCATATAGAGTGTCCCATTTTTAAAAACTATATAGTGCTCATGTTCTTTGGAATTATTTGCCTGTATTACTTCCTTGAGAATGAGTTGAGTTGCATTTATTCAGAGATGTTTGTATATACTCAGGAAAGGCCCTATTAATCCTTGAACACTTTTAATTAAATTATTTGCTTGTGTTTAGAAAACACACATGTAGTTCAAATTTGGGCTTTTGCCTGCTTGATGTCCAGCTTTATCAAATTCTCAAGAGAAGTTACTTTTTCTTTTACTACTCAGCACGAAAATACATGAATACATTTCCATGTATAGGATTATTTCTCATTCATCCATGTTTTGAGTGTTCCAGCTTTATGTTAGTTCCTTCTATAAGACTTTAAACCTTGAGCAGATTGTTATTCCATCTTCTTATGAATGTTTGATATGGCTTTCAAAACAGAAGCTCAAGCAAGTTTTTACAAATATCTTCAAGAAGACTAGAGTTTCCTTTCACCCCAAGATCATAGTTTCTACTTCAATTTTGGCCTTTGTATATATCTTGTATTCTTGCCATCTCGGTTACTCGTTTCTGAAGATTTTAAATATTTTATTCATATTATTCTTTTTTGATTTTTGTCAAGAATATATCAATTCAGTGTTCTTAAACAGCTACAGTGCCAGAAACAATGTTGTAACATTTAAACCATCACAGAGAAAAACAATCCATAAGCAAACAAAACACTGAAAAGAACTCAAATGACCACATAGGAAATGAAAAAACAAGAAACACAGAAACATAAAAGCATAGCCATTTAAATATTCATAAAAAATTGGGGTAAAACTAACACAGAATGCATCATTGATCTCAATAATTTTAAAGCTCATCAACTGAAAGATTGTACAAAATTTACTCCCACCACCCCAACAACTAACATAATTCAGCAAAGAGCCATCCATAAGATAAAAGTACTTAAAATGATACCATGCAAAAAGGCAAAAGATAAAGTTATATTTTTAAAAAATGTTATTCTAGGTCAATATGCAACAAAACAAAGCAAGTGTAGGAATTTTTTTTCTTGTCAGGCAAATTTAATATAAGAAAAAGAGAATTTAATAAAATAATAATTTAAGTGGCTTAAAAAGAGGCATTCCCAAGAGGCAGAAGAATGTGCCAAAATGATATAACAATTGAATGAGCTATTACTTTGGTAATTCTCTATATCCAATCATCTTAGCCTGTCAACAGCTAACAACAGGAAACATTTACTTTTCTTGTGACAGACATAGGTCAAGTGTACCTCCAGTGAACTCAGCTGAGATCAGTGAAGCTTATCATTGTGTATAGGTGTGCTCCACATGTATCCTCTTTCTGGGATCAATGAGTACCCAGGGGGATATTCTTCTCATGAAAGAATTCAGAAGGATCAAAAGACAATTCCAAACTGAACAAGTTCATTTAAGCCTCCTCTCACATCATGACTGCTAATATTTATTGATGAAAGCAAGTCACATGGTTAAGCTCAAAGTCAGTGGGCAGGGATGCACTCTCTACCTACGCTCCTAGGATGCCCCACAAGAGTCACCTGCAAAGCTGGAGATGGGTAACCCTATGACAGGGCAGTAAGGATTTGGAAATAGAATTCAGTCAACTACAAAAATCTGACTTTAAAAAATACATGTAAGTATGTATGTACAAACACACATACACACACACACACACACACACACTCCTTTTCTTTTTCTTTTTTGTTTTTCCTTTTTGGTGGTGTTGTTTTAGGGGCAAGGGGGCAGAGCTGTGTTAAATTTGGTCCCTATTATTCCATCTTGGTCAAAAGCCTATTTCTCTGTTTCTTTAATGTGCATTTTCCTCATACTTGAAGGAAATTTATAGGACACACATTTTCTTAGTCTTTAATGTGTTTTTCTCTTTAGAGATAATACCAGATTCTTAGATTAGACAATCGCTCTTTCTAACGTAGGCCAAATTAAAACTAGAATTCAATGCGCAATAAAGACAAAAATGGGATGGAGTCATTCTTTCAGGGCTGGGATACTGAAATAATAAATCTTAGTTTATATTTTTATTTTTATATACACTATAATAATAAGAGAACTTTGTCAAGCAGACTGAAAGCTACTTTGTCATCCATCCTTCCCATCTTTCTCTTATTCATATTGCTCTGCAGGATTTCTTGACCTCAACTTTCCTTACTCAACACCTTCCATGTCTACAGCTTAATATTTATCTTGAGTTGTTAGTATAGAAACAGTTCTTATCAGCCTGCCAGTAAGCTGAGAGGATAGAGAAGGCCTGTCTGCAGTGAGAGAGCCAAACATCACTTTGTGATGAGTGCCAATTAGACCATGCAGAAGAGTGGAAATTTCCCAAGAAAAATAATGGAGAAATTTTAAGATTAGATGGAAAAGTAGAATCACAGGAGAAAGTTGGCAAAATGAAATTTAACTTTCTATTTTGTTCCAAGTCTATTTTTTTGTATACAAACCAGATTTTTTTTTTTAAGACAAAGTTTCACTCTGTCACCCCGAGTAGAGTGCAGTGACATCATCATAGCTCACTGCAACCTCAAACTCCTGGACTCAACCTATCCTCCTGCCTCAGCTTCCTAAGTGGCTGGTACTACAGGTGCTCACCACCACACCTGGCTAATTTTTCTATTTTTTGTAGAGACAGGGACTTGCTCGTCCCGAGGCTGGTCTTGAATTCCTGAGCTCAAGAAATCCTCCTACCTCAGCCTCCCAGCGTGCTAGGATTACAGGCATGAGCTACTGTACCCGTGCATAAAACAGATTCTTGTCCTTCACAAGGTATGAGAAAAATGTTTAAGCCACGTGTTTCCATTTTTCTTGTTTGTAGGATAGTGGAGGGAGTTTATTTTTGTTGGCTCTGGTTGGCTTACCTAACTGGTCATTTATATCTAGCTGTCCATATCATTTATATCTAGCTGTCCATACTTGAATCACAATTTTTGTTCTGAGAGAAAAGGGGAGAGAATTAGAGAGGGTTTAAGTGTTTTTTGAGGTGATGAGATATAACAGTTTAAGCAAAGCTATTAGCATTCTCCAATATCTCAACATCGGATACTATTAGAAATGATATTTTTAAAGGAATGTGGTGGTATCATTAGTCTTTTTAGTCATATGGAGCCATCAGTTGGGAAACTATATTAGTTATCTATTGTTGCAAAACAAATTAGTGGCTTAAAACAACAAACCTTTGTTTCTCACATTTCTGTGGTAGTAACCTGGACTTGAAATTTGCTAAGAAGCCATTTGTTAATTTTCCCCTCTTTTGCAATATAGAGAGGCTGAGAAATTTCCAAACCAAATCCAAGTTACTCTTAGTTAATATCTCTTTCCTCATATTATTTCTCTTCTTTAGCATTTTACTACAAGCATCAAAAAGAAACCAGGCAGCACTTTCAATACTTAGCTTTGAAATCTCCTCAACCAGATCTTCTCACATTTTATGTTTCCCATGTTACTAAAGGTAATGCTCTTGCTACGTTTTCTGTCCCTACATGACAAGGATCCCCTTCCTCCAGTTTCCAATAGCATGTCTTTTATTCCTCTCTTTCTTTTGACCTTCATTTCTTTTGGCATCTTCAAACCCAGATTTCTACTAAGAGTCTATTCAAGCAAGTTAGGCTTTTCTTAACAGACTTCTCAAGATCTTTTTTTTCAGTCTCTGCTAGTTCCAAAAACATTTCCACATTTTTAGGTATTTATTGTGCCAACATACTATTAATACATGGAGGTACCAAAATATATATACTTATCTACCACTACTTAAGAAATTATCCCCAAACTTAGCAAGTTAAAACAATAAACACTTATTATCTCACAATTTCTGTGGGTCACAAATCTGCACATGGCTTAGCTGGATACTCTGTTGCAGGGTCTCTCACAAGGCTATAATTAATTTGTTGGCTGGTGTAGTCATCTGAAGGCTTGAATGTGGGATGATCCACTTCCACGCCATCCACATGGGTATTGGCAGGTCTCAGGTCCTTGGCACTGGGGCTTTTACACAGGACAGTTCACAATATGCAACTGACTTTCCCCAGATTGAGCTGGAAAGAATGATGGAACAAGCAAGATGGAATTCACAGTCCTTTTATAACATACTTCAGGAGTGACAGTCCATTACTTTTATTGTATTCTATTTCTTAGAACTGAGTCACTAGTTCTACCCTAGTAGATTGCACAAGGGTGTGAATACTAGGCCAAAGGAAAAGACATTTAAAGAAATGTGAGGGCTCATAATCTATTTTTACACATATAGACTTCAAGTTATATAAAGATGTATTCATGTTTTTTTTTCATTTACAAAATATTGGGAAGATGAAAATATAAAATATTATATATAATATCTATATATAAATATATATAATATCTAGTGAAACCTCAAGAACTGTTTATAACATATATAGTGAAGGGTTTAAACAACTGCACTGAAAGAATAACAAATATGAATGGCAATACATACAAATCCTACAAGGAAAGACTTGAAAATTTTGGAAAAAGATCTCCAATCTGTCCTAACTATATGTCTGTCCAAAATATAACTTTATAGTAAGTAAATTATCTCAGCAATAATATATTTCATATTCATGTTTTAGAACCATTATAGTTCAGCTCTGATTTTACTACATGTATCTTCACTCTACAGCCAGGTCCAGGGGGCTATACCTATCTGGGACATTCCTGTTCTTATGACAGAGAAAACATTAAAAAAAAAATAGTAGAAACGTGATAACTTTTTTTTTTTTTTGAGACAGAGTCTTGCTTTGTTGCCCAGGCTAGAGTGAGTGCCATGGCATCAGCCTCGTTCACAGCAACCTCAGACTCCTGGGCTCAAGCGATCCTCCTGCCTCAGCCTCCCTAGTAGCTGGGAATACAGGCATGCACCACCATGCCCGGCTAATTTTTTCCATATATACTGGTTGGCCAATTAATTTCTTTCTATTTATAGTAGAGATGGGGTCTCACTCTTGCTCAGGCTGGTTTTGAACTCCTGCCTCGGCCTCCCAGAGTGCTGGGATTACAGGTTTGAGCCACTGCGCCCCACCAGAAACATGATAACTTTTGAAACTTCTTGGAGTGGCATTGCACTTCTGCTCACATTTCATTAATTAAACCAAGTTACATGGTCAAGAAGGATGTCAGTGTGGTGGGGAATTATAATTTCCCAGAGGAATGAGAACTGAAAGGCATCATATTGTTAAATAGTTTCCTATTGTTGCTATAACAAATTACCACATTCTACTATCTTACAGATTTATCATCTTCTATGTTTACTTTTTTATAATTTGAGAGGTCAGAATTCTAAAACTGTGGTTTTAACAGGGCTGTCTTTCCTCTAGAGGCTCAAGGGGGAACTCCATTGCCTTCCTTATCCAGTTTCTAGTGGCCACCCCCATTTCTTGGCAAGTGGCTTCTTCCTGTATCTTTAAATGTAAAAGACTTCTGTCTTCACATTTACTTCTCTCTGACCCCCTCTCTTGCCTCCCTATATTAAGGACCTTTGTGGTTACATTGAGCCCATCTAGAATATCCAAGATTCTCTCCCCACCTCAAGATCCACAAGAATCATCTCTACAAAGTTCCTTTTTCTCCCTGCAGCATATTCACAAGTTCTAGGGATTACAATATGGACCCCTTTTAGGGACCATATTTTATAAACACCAACCTTGAAATTAACAGGAAGGAGGGGATAAATAATTTTAAAACAAAAATGAAGTATGCACACTATCCTCTGGGTCACAAAAATCACTTTCTTTTCATTTACATGCAATTATTCTCAGGCCCCCTACTACAAGAAATACATCCAAGAGTCCCAGTCTAGCATCAGAATCCAGGATCGCAGGATACTTTCTATGTCAGATCTACATACAGCTTGTCTTGGTCTAGAGACCAAAAAATTAAAAGGACACACGCTATATGTAGAGGATAACCTTGATAAATGCTCTGATTCATAAAAGGAAAGAATGAAAGTTACAGAACAGATACTTGTCTATAATGACTCTGAAATCACACTGAGGGAGGGTAACATCCTTGCGTGCTCTTTTCCACGAACCTTGCCTCTGCCCTCTGGATGTTCTGTACCAACACACTCCTTGGTCCCATGGAAATAAGGCAATAGAGACAAGTTTCTCCTAAGCATGTTTCCCCTAGAGATTTGGGGCTCAAAGTCAGTCACTGGTGAATCATTTGATGTTTTACATCTCTCAAAAACCTTTTTTTCTCTATTTTTCAACCAGCTTCATGTGACAATAGCCATACTCAAAGTTTTTTAGTAAGCCTCTCTTTCTGGTCTTATTAACAGGTACCTTGAACTTAAAAGGAGAGCTACACCTTAGACCTTTTCTTCTTAATCACTTTTGACCAATTGCAAGTGTTTACTGGATACCAACTTACTCAGAGTTAGAAATTTTCACAGACGAAATGAAGGCCATAACCTTGATTCAGTCCTTACCACAAGGCTGCTTTTTGTTTCTATTTTGCTGTGTGATATTTTCAGTTTTGTTTTTATAGTTATATGACTGTATCTCTCCATTCTGCAAGTTCTAGAGTGTAGACTTAGTGAATTCTTTTTGTAATCCTATATAAAAGATTTGATTTTCTGGACACATCTTATAGTACCCTATGAAATATACACAACAGTAACCAACATTTTATTTCCTGACTTCTTCAAGGAAAGTCCTGGACTCAGACAGATAATGTACTAGCATGTGTACATTATCTGCGTTCTGAGTTGCTACAGGGACACTTTTAGAAAATGTGTCACCTTCACAATGCATGGATTGATGATTTTCCAGTCTTTATAAATAAAGTTCCCTTGCTAATCAATGCCCAGTACAAGAACCTAGGCCAATTTTTTATAAATGTAGAACCCCACTGCTGGTAATGATATCTCTATGCATTTAGGCTAGATATATACAACCCCCAAAAGTTCCCAAAATATAGCTTACAATTACATATGTCTATTTCTAGCTTATTTTAGGTACCTATTTTGGATCAATTTCTCTACTCTACATTTCTTCATTCTATATCCAGGCTACAAAACTCACTAAATTATAAATTATTAGTTATAAGTGTTTATTTGCTATCTAGTGCAAGTTTTGGCACATAGCAGATATATATGTGTATATGTATTTTTATATACATATTTATCATATATAAGATATTTTATTAGTAGAAAAATCAGAGGAAATGAGAAACCTATTAAATGATATAAATACAAAAATGTGTATGTGTGTGTTCACATATATGTATATATGAATTAAGACAAAAAATAGTTTGTATTGTCAGATCATATTCACATGAATAAGATTCTTTTCAAAGCATTTTCTGATAACTTTAAAGTAACAGGCTATCATGCCCAGTGGAAGAAGGCAGCAGACTGAGACACTGAGGGCAACTCCCCTGTCTTTGCTTTTGGACCTGTGCTCTCTGGTATGTGCTGTCTGGTAAGAGTGATGCATGAGATATCTAAATATATCTGTCAGATGCCTCACACAAAGAGAATTTTGCATATGACTCATATAGTTGTAGTTTACAAGACATTTTCTAAGGAGAGCACCTCATAAATCCAAAGATTCTAGGTTTGCTTTCCAAAAGCAATCCTATACTGCAGGCAGTCTGCTTAAGCATTCCATAGATGAAGACTCTTCTTATAGCAATATAATTAGTCTATTTGCCAAGAGGTCCAATTATCATTATGTTTTTAGGAAGATTATGCTGGGTCACCTGCCTTTCTTCACTGGGAAAGTGCCACAGGTAAGGGGAGAAACATGAATCAGAGTCCAATTGTTTTAACTCTTTAAAACTTTGGTAAGATCAAAGTGTACAGACTAATTTATATTTGTAGAAAAATATGATATAAAATAGGCTAATAAGTACATTTAAATTATACAGTAAAATAGTCTAGATTCTTCTAGATTATAGTACACATGTGGACAAATGGTATAGAAAACAATTATAAATACAAAATAAAAACATTAACTAAAGCAACAATAGATTATGTTTTCTACTATCTTATATGCAAAATAGCAATTAAAATATTGAGAAATTGATAAATGTTATAATTTTTTATTTACATCATTGTATATTAAGAAAGTGGATTTACAAATCAACTTACGGGTGTGTTAAAGAACTAGAAACTACACATACTTTTTGACTTAGAAATGTACTGATTGCTAATTTAATTTATCTTATGGAACAAATATCAGCATAGGTAAAAAGCTATGAATATAAAACAAGAATGCAAATATACTATTGATTATAATAATAAAAATTAATAATAATCATGATAAATTATGACATAAAAATAGGAATGTATATTAACATTTAAGACTCCAAGTCAATAAGAAACATTTGTTGCCATGGGCATCCTATATGTGAATAAATTCTAAGTCTACATCTCTAGCTCTGCCTCTAGTTGTCTATTTTTATTCTTTGTCCTTTACTGTAAGATATCATATAAAAATTGATGAGTGTTTTTAAATTGCTACTTTTGTGTGATAAAAGTAGTAATATATATCCCTGTTAAATTTTAGACAATAGGTAACAGAATTACTGGAAACTAGAAATGAACCCAAATTTTAACTCCAAGAGATACTGAAAATTAACATTCCACAGGACTGTAAGTAAATACTTATGCCAGAAAAACTGGTATGGTTCCAAAAGGATACAATATATGAATAATAAACATTTGTTTTTTCAAGTTTTTATCTTATATTTGAAGTACAAGGTGAGTTAAAATTCAAAATTCATTTAATTATTAATAGAAATGGGTATTAAATACAGTATTTAAACATCATTGCTTTATAGTAACTTTATTTTATCTCAGAAATTCCTAAGCGCACAGTAGGTCCTAACTTTGGATCTCTGCCTTGATTGGCTTTAGCTTAATGTTAAAATATTAATGATTTGATTATGATGTACTTTTGACAACTCCAAGTATTTTTTCCAATCAAAAATTTGAGTCGAACAGTCTTAGGGTTTTCATTTAGATGATATGAAATTTTACATTCTGATTAGAATACATTTTATTCCAGCATTAAAAAAA